CATTGCCTGGGAAAGTTGCAGAAGAGGTATGGACTGGTCATGATGTTAGTTTTGATAACTTACGGATTTTTGGTTGTCCTGCTTATGTGCATGTACCTGCTGATGAGAGATCCAAACTTGATGCAAAATCGAAGGAGTGTATTTTTCTGGGTTACAAGAAAGGTGTCAAAGGATTTAAGTTCTGGGATCCAGTTGCGAAGAAAATTGTGATCAGTAGAGATGTTGTTTTTGATGAACAATCCATGTTGCAACAGAAGAAAGACACGACAGTGGTGGATTTCGAGCAGTTTCCAGTTGAGAAACCAGAAACTTCTCAACCGACTTCTGGTGGTTCCACTACGGATGATTTGCAGGATTATAGTCTCGCCAGAGATAGGGTGAGACAGACGAATATAAAGCCTCCGAGTAGATTGGGTTTTGAAGACTTGGTCTCTTTTACACTTATTGTTAGCAGTGATGATCCGGTTAATTTTCATGATGTTGTTACTAGTCAGGAAAACGACAAGTGGATGGCAGCCATGGTTGAGGAGATGGAGTCTTTGAATCACAATCGTACATGGGAGTTGGTTCGCCTTCCTGAGGGTAAAAATCCGATTGGTTGCAAATGGGTGTATAAGAAGAAACCAGCAGTAACAGAAAAAGAGGGGGAGAAGTTCAAGTTCAAGGCTCGTTTGGTAGCAAAGGGTTTTTCACAACATAAAGGAGTTGATTATGATGAAAGTTTTTCTCCTATGGTCAGGCACACTTCAATCCGAGCAGTACTTACATTGGTGGCCAGTTGGGATTTGCATTTAGAGCAGATGGATGTTAAAACTGCTTTTTTGCATGGTGATTTAGAGGAGCAGATCTACATGCGGTAACCTGAAGTTTTCAAACCGATAACATCATCCATGTTCTTCGCAGCAATCAACATATCATCAACATATAGTAATAGAAAAATAAAAGAACCATCATCAAGGCTCTTAACATAGACACAACAATCATACTCATATCGGTTGTAGCCAATCTTGATCATATAGGAGTCAAACCGTTTATACCACTGTCTCGGAGACTGTTTCAACCCGTACAAAGATTTCATATTATAATGTTGTTGGCTGCTTGATGTATGCAATGGTATGTACTCGTCCTGATTTAGCTCATGCTGTTAGTCAAGTTTGTAAGTTCATGTCTAAACCTGGTAAGCAACATTGGGAAGCAGTCAAGTGGATCTTTCGATACTTAAAGGGTACTGTGGGACATGGAATTGTTTTTGGTAGTCAACGAGATAATCCTTTGGTTGTAGGATATGTGGATTCAGACTATGCATGTGACTTGGATAATAGAAGATCTACGACAGGGTATGTTTTTACTCTTGGTGGAGGACCTATTTGTTGGAAGTCTACTGTTCAATCTGTAGTGGCACTATCTACAACTGAAGCTGAGTACATGGCAGCGGCTGAAGTAGCAAAAGAAGCTTTATGGCTCACTGGTTTAGTGAAGGAGTTGGGTGTTCAGCAAGGTGGAGTTCAGCTGCTTTGCGACAATCAAAGTGCTATTCACTTAGCTAAGAATCAGGTATATCGTGCTAGAACTAAGCACATTGATGTACGTTTTCACAAGATCAGAGAGTTGGTTGCATCTGAAGAGATTTTGTTTCAGAAGGTAGACACTGATGAGAATGCCGCTGATATGTTCACCAAGCCAGTTACGGCAGACAAGTTCAAGCATTGCTTGGACTTGTTGAATGTTTCAAGTTGTTAAAGAAGTAAGGTAACCCAACCCACATTGAATGTTTCCTAAGGGGCAGGATATTCGCCAAGGTGGAGATTTGTAAGGTATGACTCATAAATATACCGGTAAAGAGGACAGGGGATGGAGCGGAGTGAGTGAAGTGAACATCAACTGTCCTTGCAAAGAAAGTCTCGTAGAGGGGGTTACGATTATGTGGGTTGGGGTGCGGGTGATGCGCCCCCGCGGTACGGTACAGGGTTAATTTTTTAATTATGTACCAGGGTTTTCTATTATAAATAGAGATGTAACCTAAACCTATGAGAATTGAATAAAATTTTCTAGCGCCGCCTAGGCACCGAGGACATAAGCACATTGCCAAACCTCGTTAAAATTCTTGTGTTCTTTCGTTTACTTTGTCCGATTTATCAACAATTATCAATAAAGAGATTAAAGAATTAAGTGAAATACTTGCTAAGAATAGAATGAATAGAAAACATCATTTCATTAAAGCAATGACGAATAACGATTTGTCTTTTACAAAAACCTTATTATACTTGGGTCAAAATGAGACAGATTTGTTATTATGCATTACTTTGACAAGTATTTATAGAACACGGGGAGTTTTTCAACAGTGTAGTTGTTCAAAACGAAACCAGGACGACACGGACGAATGGATGCCAATGAGCATTCTCCAGTAGAATCATCAGTGATAGCATTGATGCTCAAGCTTCCCATCAAATCTTCAATTATTTCTATTTCTACACTGTCCCTTGATTGCTTCAGTGTGTCAGTCACAAATCCTCCAGACACAAAAGATTTGGAGAGTGGAGGTATGACCATGGGTCCCCAAATAACATCTTCTCCCTGTGCTCTTGCCTTCCTCCTTTCTTTAAGCTTTTATGCATCTCTGACTCTATCATGATACGTTGGTCTGTATCTGAGGCCAAAATAATTTCTTTTAGGAATTGGAGTCAACGCTTCAGTGATGCCTTGCAGTTTCTTTTAGGCCAGTCGATTTGCAGTTTCTTTTGCCTCCGAGGTGTGGTTCCGTAGCGAACACAATACCCGTTGCAGTCGATATTAGTTCATGGAACTGACGCATCTTTCTTTTAATGAATTGAGATTTGATAGCGCAGGTATCGAGAGGTAGTCCTATATGATTGCCGGTATATACAGGAATACGTGTGCTTTTATTCCTAACCAGGCAATGTGAACCGAAACTTGGAGCAGTCAGATTGATTAAGAGTTGGGTTGCGCAAACAAGTCGACTGTAGAGGGCGGTTGGAACACAGCCGTAAGGTTGGCTTTGCCACGTTTAATATTTAGAGCATATAAATAGCATAGAATTAGTGGATTTTATTATTATTGTACGTGTGGCTTTTGATATTTAACCTTCTCCAACTGTGAAGGCATTTGATATGCCACTTGAGTTTGCACCACACTCGAACGGGTTCCTCACTTAAAGCCATTGTCATTGATAAACACACTAAACAAATCTTCAAAGCATCTAACCTCCCATGTTAAAGCAAGAAAAAAACTACCGATACGGAAGGTAAAGTAATAAACAAAATCAATGATGATGTATGAAACGTATTGAGAAAAAGCTAATACAAGAACCAAAAACCTGGCACGTGTAGCATTCTTCTTTAACATAACATACGGTTCAATTGTACTATAAACTACGATAAAAGAAATACGATTAAAATAAAAAAACAAGCGTTTTTAAAAATTCTAGTCATTAATAACCATTTTAGTTGGGATGATAAGTATATCAATGATATTTAACCTTTTTATATTATAATATTAAATCATGATAGAAGTATAAAAATATTTTTATTATAAATAAATAAACTTATAATAATTGTAGTTCTTTATGAAAATATATAAAATTTAAATTTTTTAAGAGAATTATGGTATAAAATATAAAAATTAAATTCATATAGAATAGAACTGATTAATTATATAATTATTATAATTATATCTTGATTAAAAATTTATGAATTAAAAAAATAAACAAATCACAATATAACAATTAAAAACACTTTTCAAATATGACATAATTTTTATTCACATTCGAATTGAGCATACTTTTAAAATACACAACTGTTTTTTCAAATACTAATATTTAACGTACCTTTTGATCTCATGCACTTTTTAAAGTCGATATTAAACAAAATTATCTTCTCATGTGTCACTGATGGTATTAAAGTCGTGACGCTTCCTTTGAAAGAACATAAAATAGATTCAAGCTTTAAAGCGTGTACTACCAAAAGCTTAGCACGAGGAACTACCCTGCTTCTCGAACATAACATATGGTTCCATTTCAAGCAACATTCAACTTGACAAAGTTGGAACACCCACCCACGGCCACCAATCCCTAATCCAAGAGAAAGTGACATAAGGTGATAGGTCAAAAATTGTTTGAAGCCATGCTTTGTGGACCTGAAGTCGAGCCCCTCATAAAGCTCGAGTTCCTCTCGATCTCATTCTTCTATTTTCCGTCGTTAGTGGCGGAAAACCCATCAAAAGTAGGGCAAATCGGCATAATGATCATGATGTTGATTTTACTTTTCTTCACTCGCTGAATAAAGCCAGCCTGTTTCCCAAAAAGTAGTCTCACAGAGTCAACTCTGGGCTACAAAATTTATAGCGAGGCCCCAAGTTATAGGCCAACCCCAACCTCTGACATGAGCCGTGCAATGTTGTAGCACTAGTTGCCTGTGGTTGGTCAGTTTCGTTATGACATCCTCCTCCTCCATGTTAATTTTGGATAGTAATGCATCGCCCTATTGTTTATTTTATATCATACTTTAAGTCAAAGATGAATTTTTTTCCATAAACAAATAGAGAGAACCAAGTGAATCCTGAAAACACATAACAAGTTGAACGTTATGTTGAACGAAATCAGAGTCGTCAAAAAGAAGTGGGAACCAACAGGTACAAACTTGGCAGGAGTTGGAAAACAGATAAAAGGTCGAGCTGGTACGCCACTAACAGCACTAGCTACCGGATCAGGAGCGGCAGGGATTGTGGGGGAAAGGTGCACAAAGAAAAGCACCATGCATGCATGTCAATGAGCTATCGTGTCTCTAAATATCAGCACATAAAAAAGAGCATATTATGTATAAAGGAATCAAGACTGACAGATGTATGCAACTCATGCTCGAATACTGAAAAACAAAATACATAGACTGGTTCCGGCACCGTATAAATGTATTGACAGACAGCACATGTCTCTGGACTGCCAACAAATTAAGTCTAGTGTTAAAAAAATAAAGTGGTGCAAGTGGTGCTCACAAAAGGTGATCAGTGCTCATCAGGGAGTTAACAAGTACTTACAACATTTATGCAACGGCGAGGAATAAATAAAGAGCAAGTGCAATAAAAAATCAGGCGTAGGAGAAAGTAATAGTGAATATTTTAAAGTACGTCATTAACATTCAAAGCAGTTGTGCCATAAAGATGATGACAACTACGAACTTAGTAGCCATATTACATAGACAAATTCCATCCCAACTTTTCTCTCCTTCCTAGGAACAATATATGAGCTTCTGAAGTTTTAAGTAACAATCCGTGCCCTGGCACACCATTAAAGCATGCATAACTGGAAACTAAAACACAAAACATTAATTCTAAATACCTGTCTTCTTTATCTCTGCATTGCAAACCATCAGAGAGACTGTGAAGGAATGGTATGCAACACATGACAAACTTGCCTTTCAGAAGATGAGGAAATCATTACCGCAATACGAGTTTAATCTCCATTAATGAAATTCTCAACTCCAAGCTTCTGTGCTTCAACCTTGAGAGACTTCAGGTACCGAACCGCTTCATCAAGAACTGCTACAGTACCCATATCATTAGCACCTGGAACAATTCCTCTCAACACCTTAACCATTTTCTTCATTTTCAGCTGTTTTTCTGGATCAGAAAAGCCGTCACCACCACCAGAGGATTTCAGAGTAGAAGAACATGAGTTGTCCTTTCTTGGTTTTGAACCATAGGCAGAGCGAGAATCAGCGTCACTTTCATAATTGCCATAAGTCCGTGCAGTGCTAACTTCATCATAATCTTCTTGTTCCTCCTCTTCTGAGCTGAGGAGTGCATCAATGTCATCTGAATCCTCTTTCAAAGAGGATGAGTTTTCTTTTTCCACATCATTAACATCTTTTATGACGTACCTTCCATCTATGTAATTCGCTAAGCCATTTAATCCAGGACCATTTAAATTGTTTGCAACAGCAGGATTGAACATGATCTGGTTTCTGTGATCAGTCTGGTTGAAGATAATGAAATTCTTGGGACAAACCTCTGAGGGTTGGAACTCGATACCATGGATGGGTGGCAATGGCTTAGCACATGGAGGAAAAACAGTACCAAAAGCAGATGCAACTGGGATATGCATGTAATTATCGCCAACTTGATCTGCATATGTGGGCACTGCTTTTGGGGGGTAAAACTGTTGATGACTCTGCATCGAAATTTCTACTTAAGAGGTTCACAACAAAGATGCTTCTTGGCTTTGAATGTGCAATTATCCAACTTTTCAGTGGGAAGAAAGTTTTAACTATAATTTAGGTGAGACAAAATGACTAAACTACTGGATCGCCATTACAACATGACTGAACTACCAATTCCAAATTGCCATGAACACAATCAGATTTTTCATTCTCTCAGTCTTATACACAACACTACCAAACAACACTCACCCAGATCCCAATTTCAAAGAGTTCTGTAATACCAGACTACGTAACAGGTTTCAGCAACTGACGGAAATACTCAGCCTGCAATAGCACATGGGAAGTCAATAAAACCATAAGAATTGCACAGGTAATATGTGCAGCTTAAAACATGAAGTTACTCTGTCAATTATAAGAACCAAAACTTCAGTCCTGCTTGGCATTTTGGAGTCACTCTAAACTTTCTAGTTCATAAGGAATCAAATTAAAATGGTCAAAAGTTTGCATGTTTAGTTTGTGTCCAGATTGGTTGTGCTCGCAAGAGGAAACCCACAACAACAAAGAGAAACAAATGACAAACGTCTAGAATGATTCAAATTTGAAAATAATTTCTCTCTCTTCAACGATAACAATTGGAAAATACATATGCTTGTGGGCATTAAGAAGTCAGATTTTTCAAATCAGCTAACTGACAAACTGCAGAACAAGAGGCCCATTCAACCTAATCCAGGCATACTAGGGCAGCATCAGTAATGGGACCATATCTGTCATGGCAAAGATTTATCTAGGACTCTCATACAATCCTAAGGGCAAAAACATATATAAGAGGATGAAACAGCAACACGAAATTTGAAACAATACAACATACCTGACAAACTTGAACTAGCTTACAGTATGCAATAACACCAACGCTCATTTTAATCTTCCCAACTTCCTTAATTGCTCGATATCTCTTTATGGTTACTGCAATGTACATTCTCACACCTTAAGGTCAAAATTTTCGATGGCACAAGATGAATGAATTGAATTCCCTTTCAAATTCAATTGAAATGAACCTACAGCAGCAGAATAATTTCCTTTAATAAAACAACTGATGGATACGTACGTGATGCACATAAAAATGTAAACATCCATTTCATTCTGGAAATTATAAGGCAAATAAACAATCATCGGCAGAATTTTCAGATGTAGAAAACTTACCAAAAATAAAAAAAATTACAGTATAACAAGAAAGAAAACCACTAAGCGCACACAATTGACGAAAGACCGCGGCATTTTGTTAATCTTTGGTTCAATCCCGGAGTGATTATTGAAAAATAAATCCAAGCTTTTAACCTGTCAAAAAGAATGGCAAAATAACAGTTAAAATCAAACACAGATACTCATATTAAGATATCAAGTGATGAGTGATCTGCAACAAAAGATTAATGAAATAAACAAACGGATCAATAATAATTCAAGCTCACTGGATGTAAAACACAAACAAAAAAGTTATATTTTGTTACAGATCTATCTCAGAGAAATTTTAAAAAAGAGAGAGAAATAGTTATAATTTAGAAAACCTCACTTTCAGTAAATAAAAAAAATCCTCAATGGAACCACAAACATAATTAGCAAATAAGATAGAGATGAAGGGAAAACACAGTCTAGCAAAAATACTACAAAAATATATATTACATATTTTCTAAGAGGAAAACGTAAATAAAAGCTCAGAGAAAATAATAGAAAAATAAGATTGAGTTCGGTAAATCTTACAGAATCGGAACTCAAAGAAATAAAATGGATAGATCGGAGGACACAAAACAGCCAAGCAAGAGAGGAAGAAAATAGGGAAAACTGGTCTGAAAAAGAAGCCCCTGGATTTGCGCTGAAGAAAGCTGCAGAGTTTTAATTGAGAGAGTGGATGCGGTAAGTTTCCTTTTGGCGAGAGCATTTAATATTCCTTTGTTTTTTTTATAGAGATTATTATTTTATTGAGATGTGTGCGGGGTAGGATTTGAGCGGTCAGATTTAGGGCATTTCCGTGTAACGCGGAAGGGAAAGTGACCGTTGGATGCACGCGTGACAGAGGAAACAGTGGGGCCCACGAGGTTTGACGATTTGTGCGTATCGTGCTCATTTGATTTTTCGTTTTTCTAATTAATCATCTGATATATTGACCAAATTAAATTAGATCTAATTTCGCATAAATTTATTATGAGACGATGTTTCTAATCTATTTTGTTTTATACGTAAATATTAGTATTTGAAACTCTGATCTTATCAATAAAATATAGTATTTTATTTTACTAGGTCAACTAACTTTAGATTGAGATAACAAGTTTTATGAACTTTGCATCTTTTTTAACTTTTTTTAATTAGTAAACATAAGATATATAAAAGATAATATTTATTTAGAGATAATTTTTAATTATTTAATAATAAAATATCGTAAAATTACTTTTTTTTTAGAAAATTAGTTTGAATCTTTAAAGATACACTTAGATAAAAAAAATATTATAAGATCTATAAGAATTTTAAAAAAAAATAGTATTTTAAACTATACTTTCATAATACGATTAATGTCTTATAAACTATATTGAATCGTAACAGGTATAAAAGCATAATATATATATATATATATATATATATATATTCAAAAATAGAAGTCATTAAATGGTTTTACTAGTTAAGAGAGTATTATTCTTTTAGTAATTCTTAAGTTTAAGTGGCTACATCGATAAGACTTATGTTGATAATTATTAAAAAAAATTATGAATAAATACTATCTTATAATCTCTTAAATTATTAAAGAAAATCAATTAATAACTTAGGATGATTTTATATTTTTTGACTTACATAATTTCAAAAATAATAGCACTTATATATTTAATAATTATTTATATATTTATATTTTACACAAAGAGATTTTGGTGATCTAAGAGCAAACATAAATTTTGAGCCTGTAATAATAAATGTTAAAAATAAAATTTGAATTATAAGAGAAGGTAAAAAAAATTAATTTGTTTGTAAATTGTATTTTTATTATGCTTAACAACCTATCTAATAAATATATTAATTTTTAAATACAAAACATTAGGCATAATATTAAAATTAGCCCCTAACATTTAACAAAATGATTATTGTGATCCCTATTTCTTTTTTGGAGTATTTTTGACCCTAACATTTCAATTTATGACAAAAAAGTCTCTAACGTTTGACCAAATAATCACTTTGGTCCTTTTTTTTTTGCAGTATTTTGGACATTCAACATTTTATTTTAGGGCAAAACCCCTATTTTATAGCATTATCCATTTGTTAACTACTGATTTGCACTCACTTAAAGGTTTTTTGGCCTCAAAATGAAATATTATGGGTCAAAATATTCCAAAAAAGAATAAGGACCAATGTGACTAGTTGGTCAAAAACTATGGTCATTTTTTGATATTATGCCAAAACAATAAAAAAATTATTAAACACTCAATTACTCACACAACACAAGCGTGTCTTCTTTAAAGAGGGTCATGGTTCGATTTCAACAATCTATCTTGTCAAAAATAATAAAAGAGCAATTACGTAGAAATTAAAAAAATCATTTCAAAAATATCATGTCAGTATCACCTTTAATTTTGTAATGGTGAGTGATCGAAACATAATTAAAACATAATATTATGTATAATTTAAAAAAAATAAATAGTTAAAACATAAATGAAATAATATATGAATGACTAAATAAATAACTTATTTTTTAATTATATATGGACTTCTTGTTTTTGAAACCTAGGATAATCTCACATACAACAAAAAAACATCAAATGATTTTAATGAATAAATTCTAAATATACATTTTATAATATTTTTTTATAAAAGACACTAGTTTTATTCAAAAAATAAAATATATAAAATTATAATAAATGTTTACGACAATAAATGTAAACTAACCACATAACTATGACACTTTCCTATAACAATTAACACAAAAATTAGTCACTTAAGGTCACATAAGGACCATATAAGAAAAATGTTAAAAACCTAAAAAAACCCGAACAAAACATCAAATCTGACTACAACGGAGTCAATTCATAAAATAAAATAAAACTACTAAAAGACCACAAAAATTACAAATTAGAATTACGCGAAGTAAAAAAACTATTCTCAAACGTAAATTACGTGTCTAAATCCAATATAATGGTCTGAAACATGAAAGATCAACATGATAATAAATAAGTGACATATTGATCAGTCGTGAGAATGTCAAATATAATATTGAGAAAAAAGATAAACTAAAATAACAATCAAACTATGAAAAACGTATCATAAAATCATAAATAAACGTGTTATAAAGAAAAATAACATGATAAATACATAGTTATTAAAAATTAAAAATAAAATAAAAATAAAAATGTGATATAATAAATTAAAGGAAAATTTAGAAATATCTATAACGACAACCAATACAAAGGTCGGTGCAGTCGTCTATCAATTACGAATGAAAAAAGAGAGAAAGAACTTTAGGGGGTGTTTGGTTCAAGTAATCTGAGATTACTGGGGAAATGTAATCTCATTCTCCCGTTTGGTTGGCCAACTTTCACAACCCCCGGTAATCTTTTATTACCAACACTGGTATTTTGGGGGTATATTATCGGGAATGTGATTACCCACTTTTCTTAGGTATTGTTAGATTACCGTTATTTTGGATTAAAATGCCCTTAATTTTTCTTCTTTCAAAAATATCCTTCTTCTGTCGTTGAATAAAAAAATTCTACGAATGTTAAATTAGAAATTTATCCTTGAACTATTTTAGATTTACAAAAAATCCATAATTATAATTTTATATGAAGTTCAAAGGTTAAAATAAAATTTTGCCCAATCATTAAATCTATTTATCTTTTCAATTTTGTAAAAAATATATAAATTTTAAGAATTTAAATTTTTTAAAGAAAATATATAAATTAATTATAGTAAAATTATAGTAGAATTTAACTTGTTAAAAAAATAAATATATATTAAAAACAATTTGATAAAATATATATTTAAATAATTTTTTATTCCTTTAACCAAACACGTTAATCTTACATTCATGCTAAACCAACCAAACACAAAATACAACATTCATAGTAATCTTATACGCACATATAATCTCATTCCCACTTGTAATTAATGACATTCTGAAATTGGCTTGGAACTCTTTCATCTACTTTGTCTAGGAGGAGAGGAATTTGCAGATGTTTCAGGGGAAGTCTGTTCACGGGCATGAACTGTTGAGGAGTATTAAAGAGGCATTTAGACTTAGGATGCTGGGTAAACGTATGAACAAGGACAATCGGGTTAATTTTAATCTTTGTATAGAACGAGGGCTGGTATAGTTTTTTAATTGTTTGTTGGGATTGGTTTGTTTGTGATGCATTTTAGTAGCAGCTTTGTTTATGAAACGTGGAATCTTTTTCCTTTCGTCCTAATTTTCAATCAATGGGTTAATTATTCGTTTGCCCCTCGTGTGAACGTTATCATTTCCTTTTTGAAATAAAATGAAAATTAAAAAGATTATATAGTTAAGGAAGGTAAACAAGCAAACTATAGGTGCAATTGGGGCACACAAAATTCACCTCAAGTTCTCATTGATTAGAAAAAATTTATATGACATGAAGAAAGAAAAGTTGAAACACAAATTACTCCGGCTCTCTAAAGCTCACTTTCCTGGAACAAAGTTGGTGGCGTAGGCCCAGGCATTGTTGTTAACAGGGTCAGCAAGGTGGTCGGCCAAGTTCTCCAATGGTCCCTTCCCGGTGACGATGGCTTGGACGAAGAATCCGAACATGGAGAACATAGCCAACCTGCCGTTCTTAATCTCCTTCACCTTAAGTTCAGCGAATGCCTCTGGGTCATCAGCCAGACCCAATGGGTCGAAGCTGCCACCCGGGTACAATGGGTCGGTTACCTCACCGAGAGGTCCACCAGCAATACGGTAACCCTCAACGGCTCCCATCAAGATAACTTGGCAAGCCCAGATGGCCAAGATGCTTTGAGCGTGGATCAAGCTTGGGTTACCCAAGTAGTCGAGTCCACCTTCGCTGAAGATCTGAGATCCGGCCTTGAACCAAACGGCCTCACCGAACTTAACTCCGTTCCTAGCCAGGAGCTCGGGGAAAACACACCCTAGAGCTCCCAACATAGCCCACCTGCAGTGGATGACTTCGAGCTCACGGTTCTTAGCAAAGGTCTCTGGGTCAGCGGACAGACCAGCAGTGTCCCAACCGTAATCACCGGGGAACTCTCCGGTCAAGTAAGATGGGGGATCACCAGAGAGTGGACCCAAGTACAAAACTCTGTCTGGACCGTACCATGGACTACCGGAGACAGCGGGCTTGGTGGCTGTTTTCCTCATGGAAACACGACCACGTCCCTGGATATCAGGGGTGGAAGGAGAAAGCTTGACAGCCCTTCCGGCGAAGGATGGGGAAGAGAGAGCCATGGTTGCAGCGGTCATTTTCAAAGTGAGATGTTTTCCGGGAACGATACGCAAGAAGGGGGGGTGTTTATATAGGGACTTGTGAGTGAGGTTCCTCAATCCCTTATCGCTGCTAAGTATCTATATCTCTCATCTCATTGGGAGCTCAAGATTTCGATATTTTCTTGGCATCTCCACTTGGCACTCTCTCCATCCACAAAAGTCTTAACAGACAGCAGCCTGCATCAACATCAACATCCATCTTTTTATTTATTTATTTTATTTCACTTGTCTTGAAATGGATTTCGTTACACAATTCAATATTAATACCACAAATTAATAGGACAACAAACGAATTTCGAGAGAGACAACCATATACAATAGATTTTTATGAAGTTCTGAATATGATGACAGTAAAATACAAATTACAGAGTTTGAGTTGCTCGTAAGATATGCAGGGTGGAAAATATCGTGCTTTGCAGCTCGATG